ATCCTTAATTTCTACAAAACCTTCGGTATCACTCATTATGAAATAAATAATCGCCTTAGTTAGTTTTATACTTAACTCAATGAATAAACTGATCAAAGTGTTAGTAATTATCCGGGCATGGTAAATTAGAAGCAAAAAGTTTATCTTTTAGCTTTAAATAAAAATTAAAATTTTCCTTTGTGGTTTGGAAAAATGTAGACATCTTCTATTTTAAAAAGATATAATCAAAATCTATGTAAAACTACTACTAGTGCTGAAAAATATAGGTTACTTTAATGTAAAATGTAAACAATTTTAATTAATAATTTATCATTTTAATGTAATTTTAATGTAAAATGTAATTAATTTTAGTTTTTCACGATTCAAAAGGAGAATCTAAGCAAATTTGTAACTCAAATACTTGAAAATCTTATTAACTAAATTTGATACCTAATTTAGCATTAAATTTAAAAAGATTTGAGATGTATATATAATTTTTGAATTTTTCAAATTTAAGCTATGAAGAGAACTTTAATTTTAAAAAATTATGCTCATGTTCTTAAAATTCTTGACTAAAAAACTTATTCTGAAATTTCAAAGGAACACTTAAAAAGCGTTCCATAATTCAATAAAAATTCGAAATTTTTTCTTTATTATTTTCATTCAAAATTAAACAATTAAGTATAACCTTAAATTTAAAACTTCCAAAAACTAAATCAAAATAACAACATAAAAGGGGAAGGTAGTACATCTTTTTTCGAAATATAATATTTTAAGCTCAATTGATTTTAAATGAATGGACTGATATACCTTTCTTCTTCTTGAATGGAGTATATCCTTCGATTTACCGGACGATGTCTGCCGGACATGTTGGATCCGACTCGGGGACGTCGTCCGGACTTTTGTGTCGTCGTCGTTTCTTCACCATCTCGACAACAAGCAGATAACGAGACCCCTTTCTGGTCCACTTCGCAAACCCCGATCGCTTGACACGTTTAGAAGGTAAGAGAAGGAAACCCTCGACTACCCCCAACAACATTCGAATCGATACTCCAGGGTAAATAAAAAAAGAACAAAAATAGGGGCTTCGTTAAAAGGCCGCCCCCAGGTAAAGACCATCTTTGAAGGGGACATTCGAAAGAGTTGTTGAAAACGATGACTTACCTGAGGGACTGGGCGTCATGGAAGTCGTCTGCTGTTTGTGGAGGAATTGGTTGGGGGGGTTTCAGCCGGGACTGCATGCGGTTTGCCCCGTTCTTGGGAGAGGGGGCCCCTTGCCCTTCATCCTCCTTTAACGGAGAAAGAGAGAAAGATCCGGCAGAGAGGTCGCTTCCTGTCCGGGAGGAGAAGGTGTGTTCTGCTCATGCTCCACACCGCGCCGCAGACGTCCATTCATCCAGACGCCATTCAACCGCCCCGGCATTCGCTCGCCCCCACCACTTTCTGCAAGAGCCCCGGCACAAACGCTTCCCACTCTTCTTCTCATGCTGGATGCAACAAATATCGTTTTTCTTCTGCGGGATGGATAGTTTTATTCTTCGAGAATCTCGAAAAAACGATACGGTTATCGTTACTTCTCCAGGCAGTCGAGTGTAGGTTAATTGTTATTTTAAATATTCGATAATTTGTTTTTATTAAATTCATGTGCCAAATCTCAAGAATATTTTCTTGATTTTGAATTCTAAACAAACATTTTACAAACATAGTTTAAGCTCAGTAATTGAAGGGGCATATACTTTTTCATAGAGAAAATAATAAGTTAAAAAAAAAAGTTTTAATTTAGTTTAAATTATAACCATTTTTTAAACGAAATACTTATTAATTAAAAGTGCATTATCTTCTGTAATGAAAATAATAAAATCTTCTTCTAAGAGTTGAGCTAAAATTTAATTCATAAGAATTAAAACAATTTTTTTAGAGATATACTTATTAATTAAAAGAGTGTTATCTCTTCTAGAGGAAATAATAACAGCTTCTTAAGGAGTTGGGCTATAATTTAATTCATAAGATTTTTTTTTAAACAGAAAACTAACTGACAAGAGTTTTTTATTTTTATAATGGAATTAATGGTTGTTTTTGAAAGAGTTAAATTAGAGTTTGACTTATGTATAAAAAGTTTTCTTTTTAACGGAAAACTTATAAATTCTTCAAATTTAAGTTTATAATGAATTTCTTAAATAAAAAAACTTTTCGCTGAAAGGGAGTTTTATGTCATAATGAAAATAATAACAGTTTTTTAGGAAGTTATAAGAAGTTTTTAAATGAAAAACTTGTGAGCGAAACGAGAGTTGTAGTTTATAGTGAAAATAATAAACTTTTCACACAGTTAAACTACAGTGTAATTTAAATAGTTTTTTTTGAACAGAAAACTTATTAACTGAAAGAGAGTATCATTTTTCACAGTTAAATTATCGTGAGACTTGTAACAAGGTTTTTAAACGAAAAACAATTTAAATAAAAGAGAGTATCGCTTTTTATGGTGGAAATAGTAACAGAATTTTTTTTCTTAAGTATCAAAATATAACATGTAAACACGATTTTAACTTATAATAAATTTTTCAAACGAACAACTTATTAACGATAAAAGAGTAACATTTTTCATAGCAAAAATAACAGTAGTTTTTTAAGGAGTTAAATTATAGTTTAATTAATAAAAAAAAATTCTTAAACAAAAAACTTATTAACTGGAAGACAGTATCATTTTATATTTGAAATAATAAAAGTTTTTATAAAATTAAACTGCTGTTAAACTCTCTTATAAAAATATTACATGAAAAGCTTATTAACTGAAAGAGCTTACTACTTTAAAATATTTTTTTTCAAAAAAGTTTTTTTTATCGAGTTGAATATTTTTAAACTAAACATGTAACAAACATCTAACAAGTTTTTTAAGCGAATCTTGTAAACTGTATGGGCATGTAACTTTTTAAATATAAATGATAATATTATAAAATTAAATTATAGTTCGAATTAAATTATAGTTCTTCTTAAAAAAACCTATTAATTGAACTATCACATTATTTTCTCCAGTGGAAATAAGTTTTTTTAAAGGAAAAAAACTTTTTTAGACTAAGAAGAGCTTTGATTACAGTTTTTTTACTTAAAATTATAAAGTCATGCGCTTGCAGAAAGGAATTCTAGATTCTTTTTTTATAGAAAAACTAAGGAAGAATTAATTAACAAACATTAACTTTATTTGTTCACTCAAAAACATTGTGGACGTGTAGTTCGGATTTTTTTTCTTAAAAATATGCTAGTTTTTTTAAAACAAAAACCGTTAAAATGAAAAAAAATTAAAAAAATTACGATGGCATAAATTTCTTACCTTTTTGAACTACTATATCGCATAGTTCTAAGTTGAACCACATTATCGTACATTTTAAACTCCATCAAACGATGCTATGAATCCACTTGAACGGAAACAACAATTAATGGAAACAATAATGAACGGAAACAATAAGAAACGGAGACAAAGGTTCAAGGTTCACCAACAAAACAATTTTTCTAAGAGTATAGCGAAAAATATTTTTTTATTGTGTATCAAGAAATTGTTATTTTTAAAAATGTAGCAAAAAAACTTTTATTTTTCCATACCATTGTTTTTAAAGTGCAGCAAATTTTCCACACTGTTGTTTTTAAAAGTATGGAGGAAAAAACGTGATCTACCCAAATTGTTATTTTAAATCTGAACAAAAACAGTTAAACAGAACAACAACAACAAACAAAAGTTAAACAGAAAAACAGTTGAAAAGAAAAAAACAGTTATCTCCTTAATCTGTTATTTTTAAAAGTGTGGCAAAAAATTATTTCACCACACTGTAATTTTTTAAAAGTTAGGAACTTATTTTCAAGCAAAGGTTGTTTTGAAAACAACCTTTGTAGCAAAGTACCTATTTTTAAAAATATAGCAACTGTAGTGATAAAAGAACAATACCCTCACTTTTCAACCTTTCGCCTTCGCCTAAATATCTATATTTATTTTTCTGACGATGCCTTGCACCTATTACTTTTTAACTGTAAGCGTCAACCTTACTGAGCCACATACCTGGATCGACAAACATTCTATGGTTGATACTACTTGAGATTCTTGAGCAGATTTTAAAATTTGCTTTCCTTATCCGTATGCTCAGGAACTAGAATTAATTTTCTAATATTTTAATTATTCATGTTTTAATTACTCTTGCATATGCAGTCTAAATAATTCAGATAAAGTAAATTATTTATATATCTATTTAAAAATAGTTTTTAATGACAGTGCTTTCGGTTAAGTGAGCACGTGTCCTCTTCTGAAGGTTCTTCTGCCACGACGATCGTTTTCTGAGCGATCCAGTCCCTTCCGAGAAAGATATTGAATTATAGAAGCGATTGAAATTCAAAGCTGGATCCATGATAGCATTCTGCTGTTCTGTTCAGTTTCCAAACAGGTAGAGTTCACCTTGGAGTGGAAGAAGTTATTGACCAGAAATCCTAGGGTTATAAATGCACCGTCCCTCGACTTCCTTTGGAAAGTCAGTGCCTTTAAGTTAAAACACAACACAAAACTGTTATTTTCTAATTTTTTAGCAAGAAATGCTATTATTAGTAGTATAGTATTATACCATACTGTTATTTTTAAAAGTGCATCAAAACATTTTCCATAAAAAGTCTAGCAAAAAGCTGTCCGTTATCTTCCCAAACTATTGTTTTTAAGAACGTAGCAAAAAAATTGCAAAAATCTACTATTTCTCCGAATTTTGAATTGTAAAAGTGTAGTAAAAACTGTTATTTTTTAAAGTGTAGAAAAACTGTTATTTGAAACAATGTAGGGTAGCAAAAAACTGCTGCATTATTTTTAAAAAACTCCTTCTGAACTAGTTTGAAATATAAGTGCTTACACCATAATTTTGATTAATAAGGGAATGTCGTTGTAGCACAGAAAAAAAGTTGCTAACCTTGGGCTCTTTTAAGCGTTTTTCTTTAAAAAGCGTGTTCACGCAATTATTTTCAGGTGGAACTGTATCTAAACGTAAGACCATAATATTATGAAAAACTACCTTAATTTGTTTATAACCGCAAAATGTGTGCGTGGTATTAAATTGATTCTTGTTTTCTCCCTAATTGTACAATGATATCGTGATATGGTGGTGACAGGTATTCGAGATATATTAAATACGCGATATGATCGTAATAGCAATCATGATATACTAAATGAACGATAACTTAGATCATGATAAACGATAACTCAGTTCAACTTAGCACCGTACTACTGTTTCAGAGAATATGAACTATAGAATTGTTCACCCAGCTGCAAAATGTCTGGCAGTGCAGTTTAATATCAAAAATACACATCAATAGAAAAAACATACATTGTGTGCAAAAAAAAGGAGAAAAAGGGGGGAGAACGAAGTTGTATCAAATATATGAAAACTGAATTAAACTGTCTGTGAAATAAACAATGAAATCTATTATTTTTTTTCAACTTCAAAAGCAATAAACAAAGTAATTTTTTTTTCAGTCTGTCTTAATTCTGATAAATTGTATTCGCTTTATAAACGTGACTTTGGAAGAATGCCAGAGGGAAATATTTATGAAATAGAAATAAGAGCACCAGTTGCATTTGCATAGATCATTCCATTGATAATTCAAGATTTACATCCATCGTAAAAATCAATTCAACCCTATAATATAGGGTACCTTAAACCATAATGCCGAGCATGTTTGTTGCAAACTCAATAAGGTGCTAAATCGGATCATAATTGTTTAAATTGAACCATCGTGTGGTGTAATCAAGGTTAGGAAGTATGATAGCTTGGTTCAACTAAGAAACCACATCATGGATGTAGCTAGTTTGAACTAAATATAGTTCAAACGCTTACAACAGCATAATATAATTGCATACAGGGTATCCAGTGAAAAACTGACCGATTTCAAAATTAAACATCTCTGCAACAAAGGGGTGATAGAGAATCGAAATAAACGGTATGTATATTGGGAAATATGCAAAAATTACGAAAGATTTAGATTTAGTTACTAAAGTTGCCAACAGATGACGCTTTACGCAGTATGGATATCTTTTTTAATTTATTTTGTAGCCTTCGTTGAACAGCCGACCTATATATTTGAGTTTACGACTAACAATGTTCAACAGTGTAGCCTTGTACTTTATAAAACAATCCAGAGGACAAAGAAATTTTAAGATCAAGTATTAGGAGAAATTTGCCTTTCCGGAAAGTCTTTTTGATGGAACTAATCAGCATTTGCGTTACATGGAGAGGTAAACCGACAAAAATCTTTCATGCTTAGCCTGACAGCAAGGGGACTCTAACACATAACACGTCTACCACTGAGAATATTTTACGTCAGCGCTGTGGTCGGTGTGGAATTCGTATCAACCAGTCACTGCTGTATTTCAAACCCGAATCACCTCATTTGGAAGTGAGCTCTCTTATACTGAACTACCACGGCTCAATATAGAGTTCTTGAAGTGAATAGAAATGCTGGAAAACTGTAATCTACTGGGACATTTCAGTATCAGAAACATACGTTATTCAATAGAATACACGGCTTAAACCTCCTTATCCAGAATGAAAAACTCCTTTCCCGTTTTTAAACTATAACTCATCACTCTGGTCATCGATGGTTTGCAGCTCCATCTGACGACAACATTTAAAACTAAATTCGAAAATTTCTGTATAAATCCTCCGTTGCTTTTTTTTTGGATTATTTATATTTTTAAATCAGACAGCCTTCCGTTGGACACCCTGTATTTTTTCCCAACGCAATTTACTAAGCAGGAGATGATAGGTGCTTTTGTGCTTTGTTCCCACACAAATCGATGCAATTGAGACGTGATGGCTCAGGGGATAGAACATTCACCTTCCAATGAGGTGACCGGGCTCGAATCCCAGTGATGGCTGGTCGATATGAATTCCGATTCCGGCTTACACCAGCCTCTAGTGTTGACGTAAAACATCCTCAGTGGTAGGCGGATCATGGTTAGGCTAACCGTGGAAGGTTTTCGCGGTTTTCCTCTCCATGTAACGCAAATGCGGGTTAGTTCCATCAACAAGTCCTCATTAGGGCAAATTTCTCCCTATACTTGATCCCGTAGCTCCCTTGTCTTTTGGATTGGGTACAAAATTACAAGGCTACGTAGTTGAACCTTAGTAGACGTAAACCATAAGAATTGGGTCAGCTGTTTAACGACGGTTATAAAATTGGTACAAACTAGTGCCAGACAATCTCTGGATGAACTCTCACTAAAGTATAGAGTTCATCTTGTGATTGCCAGTCAGTATATTGTACACGATAAAAAATACACTAAAAATAAAAAGTTAAACTCACCTTGTTCTTGCACCTAGCCCCTCAATTGTAGAGAGTGATCGTGATCTTCTCATCGGAATGCAATGAAAGTGCATACTAAAACTTCTGGCTCACTGTAAATGAGAAATATATGTCGTATTTTATATGAGCTCATAACAGTGCCTAGAAAAAATTCTTTATTGCGAAAAATTGTAAATGACCTCCTCTCACAAGGGAAACTAGGGAAGTGTGACTCGCAGATTTTGAAATAAACTAGTGGGATGAATGCCTTATGAGGAATAGTTTTAGGGGGCAATATTCGTTTCGGCCCATAGAAGGTCCTGTGAGAGATAAGAAATAATTCAATATACAGAAAAATCGGTATTTCAATGCAGACTATTAGTTATTGTCTCATACTCCAATTAATTTTGTGGTACTTTTACGTACTATATAATGCATATTTATTGTCAAAATTGATGACGAAAATTTTATATATCCATAGTTTTTTAGAAAAACCAGTTAGGTTAATTTTTAAAAAAACATTGACATCAAATTTTTTAAATTTTTTTTCAAAAAACTTTCCAAATTAATTGGAGTATGCAATTGTAAATCAATTAATCAATTAATAATTAATTAACAATTACTTAATCATTAACAATTAATTAACAATTAATTGATAATTCATTAATTTTCTGATTAATTTATTAAATAGCAAATTAATAAATTATCCAATTAATTACAAATTAATTGGATTATGAGACAGTTACAATAACTAATAGTCTGCCTTGAAGTAATAAAATACCGTTTTTTCTATATATTGAATTATTTTTAATCTCTCACAGGACCATCTATGGGCCGAAACGAATGTTAATTAATTTATTCATTAGCAAATTAATTATTTAGTAAATTAGTTAATTATCCAATTAATTACAAATTAATTGCATTATGAGACAAGTACAATAACTAATAGTCT